ATTATTATTAAGCAAAGCTAAGTCCATAAACCACAAGTTACTGATTTTTTAATTTAACTATAACAATTAACAACATTATTTGACAAAGTAAAGAAGGGAGGTGCTAATCTGTTTTTAAATATTATTATCTTTATCGATGACTAGCCCATATACCCGGCGTGGCCCGAGATTGCATTGGATCCCATCCTGGTTTGACCCCTGATCCCATTTCTGACACCCATCTAGGCGCAGTCTCGTCTCCCGGTGTGATCCAGACCCCGGGGGATCCACTCAAGGTTAGGATCCCGATCCCTTAGATCCCACTATATATCCCCTTGTAACAATTTAGAACTTTCTGGAATATTCTAATTTGAATTTAATAATGTGCTCGAAACATGTGTAAAATCTACTTTTCTAATTATTTTTGGAATAGGATGAAAATCTTCAACAAATGCAAACATTTAAATCCTTTTTCTTTTAAGTTAATCAAGGGGGGGCATTCCATAACTGTACTGATTTAGTAATGCCTGAGATAGGGGGCTCTATAAATATCAGACATATAAATAATAGAGTTAAAATTTAAAATTTGTCCCATTAAAATCGGTTTAAAAATGCTATAGATATAGCTTTTTAAAATTATCAAACTTTCTAGAAAATTCAAGATTGGATATTCTTAGTTTTAAATCCAATGATATGTTAATAGGGACAATGACGTCTATTTATACCAAGCTAGATATATTCTTCAATTCACATAGAACCTCTAGTGTTGTCTAAGCCTGTTAATATTTATAAAGCTTATAAAAGGAAAAATGAAACGGGACCCCCGGCCCCAGAGGGATGGATTATGAGATCAGTACCCTTCGGTATTTGAAAATGGATAATCAAGTATATGTGTACTAATTTTGGTCAAGATCCATCAACTCATGAAGTATTAGTATGTAGGAGTAATAAGCCTATTGACAATTGATATTTATAAAGCTTATATTATAAGAAAAAATGACACGGCCCGGCCCCAGAGGAATGGATATTATGAGTTCAATACCCTTCGCATTTTAATATGGATAATAAAGTGTATGTGTAATAAGTTTGGTCAAGATCCATCTATTCATGTAGGAATATTTGTTGGTCATTTTTTTCTACAGCTCATATAATCAAAAGGAAAAAAACGAATTTGGGGCCCAAGGCCCAAACGGAATGTTATAAAAACTTCATAACCCCCTTGCCCTTAAGTTTAAGAGTTCCTTCTCTGGATAATGATGGTTGACACAACAAGTTAATTCTGTCACTAAATGTATCAGTATTCCGATTCCTAAACCTAACCTGAACCCTAAATTATATATCCCTAAAGTCTAAAGCCGTAACCGTAAACCTAACCTAACCCCTGCCTAATGAATGATTTAAAATGAAAAATGTAACCCTAAATTCACTGCAACTAGTATAATAAACACGCAAATGACGTCACAGGATTATCTCTAGGAATTAGCCCTCAAGCATAGTATAGGCTACCCTACTCCTAGTATTACTATAATATTAGTTAATGCTTACCTATTTTAATGCTAATAATAGAAGACCCATTTTCTAAATAATAACTACCGCTCCCGTACTTAACCATTTGTTTTTAGAATTGTCGTTCTTGTAAACAATTTCCGTTTCCTGTGTCAGTGTAACAATACAATCTGTCTGATACTCCTCTGACATGGTTACCGGTACCGGTATCGAAAATTTGTTTAAAAGAAATTTGGTCGTCGGAAAATTGATCGACATAAGTTTAGTCGAACGAAAATTTGGACGAATTTTCAATAATTTTATATTAAAAAAATTGATAAGTTTGAGAACTTAGTACTAGAAGTGTGAGTTAGAAATTGGGGACCCATTTCCCACGAACGCTTTCTTTGTTGCCATAACGACATAGGCAGCGTCATTGCAACCAAGATCAAGGCGTGAAATTTAAAAAAAAAAAAAGTAAAACCGGGGTGCAAATGCACTAAAAGTAAAATGGGGAGGGGAAGTGAGAGAATGTGCTGTTTTAGCTACACAGAGTAAATATGTTAAAATTTAATTACATAATTTCAGCTGGTAGGCTACATTAATTGCGTGGCAAATATAATATATCAACTTTATTGTATCCCACTGGACTCTAGAAATGCATCAAGAGAAGTAAAAAACCTGCAGTTGCCCCATTTCCTGTTGTAATATCAGCAGGTATATTAATTTTTTGGCGAACTTAGCATGTTTATTGCATCCCTCTAGATATGAGGCAAGAAGTGTTAAGGCAGGACTTGCGGTCGCTCCCTTCCCTAACCACGTGAGTGTGAGTCAAAATGGACCCAGACACGCAGCGCCGACATTCGCACCCGGGTACCAATAAGCTCAAGCTATTCGGATGTCATTTGTGGTAGTTTATTTGAGTAAACTGAAGAATTAAGTTTACAAGCATATATTCCATTCAAATAACTTTCATTTGATACATCATCTTGTCTTACAAACCCAACAATAATATTTTTAATCCCAACCTCTCACTTCTGGTAACAGGTACGAATAGTCACAGCCTTTTTCAAATTCAAACAAAATTCTGTTGGAACCAACTTCAGTACAAACAAATCTCATTTCTCACTTGCATGTCTTAACAACATTGACACAAATTAGAACATATTTCCATTCACACAAATCTCTCAATTTCTAGCATGCACCTCTAAGACTTAACACAATTTTTTTTAAGTATTAAAAATATATATATATATATATCTGACCGAATTTCCGTTGGACCAAACTTCTATCCATCAGTTGTACTTCAACCAAATTTCTTTTGTGTATTTATGTGTGTGAGAGAGAAGGGGAGGGATGGATACAATTGGGCCGGGGGGGGGGTGGTGGTGGTGGAAGATCAAACAGGGTTCCAACCATCAGTAAATTTACCTTTCTAAATGGCTTTTCTGCAAAAGTAAGTATATTAGTAAGCCTGTGCTGAGAAATTGTCCTTAAGCTTGGCTCTTTACCCAGGGCTTTAGAAGTTAAACTAAAGTGGAATTCTCAGAATATATTAATATGCGAAATAAAATTAAAATAACTTATCTGATGCTGTGGTCACTGTGGGAGAGATAGAGAAAGTCCATGAAATGCTACCCTTTAATTCAATTTTTCTTGAGCTCTCCACTGCATCAGATAAGTTATTTTAGGTTATTATTCTCTGAAGAAGGCTTTCTGCTGACATGTCAATTGTTTTATTGTGTCCTGTTCAGGTTTTTTCTGACCTTGTGCTACTTACTTTCATTTATCTAACAGTTACTAACAACATCAAAAAAGTCACTGCCACACTTCCATTTTATCACATTGATGAAGAATAAGGACTTTTTGAAATTGTAAAATTTTCATAACTTTATTTTTATAGTGTAGAAATAGATTTTGCAATAGGTTCTTTCAAAACAAGGCTACTAAAGAAACATATTATATTTGTATGTGTTTGCAGATCTAAGTCCAGAGAAAATGCTAGTCAAGCTGCTAATAGTAACAACCGAATACTTCAGTTGATTATTATTTACAAGTTCATTTATACTATACATTAGTACATCTGAATCAAAGTCAACTACATGTAAAAACAAAATGTGAATCATTTCAATACAAAATTTGACAATTCATTAAGAAATAAGAATACAAATCATATGTAAATTTTACTGGCCCTAAGCACTCAACAATTACTGCACTCAACAATTACTGAAGTGCTAGCTGAATTTTTGTGAAATGCTTAATTTTTGTGAAATTCAAGCAGGGGTGCACACTTGTTAAAATTATTTTAATTGACAGGCACAATGTTCCTAACAATGTGAAATGCACAATGTTCTTAATGTGAAATGCACAATGTTCCTAACAATGTGAAATGCACAATGTTCCTAACAATGTGAAATGGTAATCTATGTTACAGAATATATGCAAGGTTTCAATTCAAATTGTTAAAATGGCCTAAAACTTTAAAAACGTAAAAATTGCTCTGTATAGATTAAGACAATTTGAGAAAATTATAATTTAAACAGTTGCAAGTAATCCATGGACCATGTCATCGATCAACAAACTGCAATGAGAGTAAGTCAACATTTACAAGCAGACTTCTTACTATTGCAATAAACTGAGCTGGAAGACTAAAAAAAAAAGTGCATCTCAAAAACTTGGTGTGAACATCTTCACAAAATGAAATGACTAAACATTATTTAAATAGGATTTAACCAAAGTAAAATTACTTTCTTTCAAAAATTAATAAGAATTTTAACCCAAAACATTGAACAGAGGACCTAACATTGAGACCCTTTTTTAAAAAAAAAAAAAAATCTCAACACAGCCTGCAAATTACCATCAGTAAGTCTTAAAATTAACCATGGCGTTCACTGGTCACATTTATGAGTATGATGTAAGAAAAGTTACATTGTAGTAGCTGCTACTAACATATATTAAATTTAAATGACATCAAACTTCAAAATACCGGTACCGTATATGAAGAAAAAAAATATTTTTTTTTTAAACTCATAGAATTGCATAAAGTTTTTAACTTGATTTTCTCAATATTTCCTATCATTTTGCTGGTGATTGGAATAATCAACTTTCCCAGAAGATTTAAAAAAAAACAACTAAAGGAATGTTCACCTACACCAAATGCCCAATGAAGCATTTGGACGGTCTAGATTGCAGAGTTGAAGTTAAACACAAAACTTGAATCAAGTATGGTTCCATAATAGTAAGAGCCATTGCAGAGCAGTTCTAACCTAAAGTGTGTGGTGTACTGTAGACACAGTAGTAAGGTTTGGAACACCACTTAAATCAAGGGGCTGAAAGCAGTTAACTCAGTCATTGAACAATCAGAGCCACAAGAATTTATACTTGTAACACCTACCACCATAATAGAATCCGGTTTTGCATGTTGAACTAACCATTTTGAAAAGTATAGCAAAAGTTTTCAAACCTTTTAGTCACAAAAAAGATATGTTGAAATAGTTATTTAAAGTTTCAAGATAGATACTATTTTAAATAAGATAGCGGGTTTTATCTCAATTAGAAAATTCATTATTAATGACTATAATAATCCCAAGAGATATGTAATTTGTCTATAGGCTACCAGTCAATAATCATTGTAAGAAATAAGTTATATGAAAAAGGGTACCAATCAATAGTCATTGTTAAGGCTGTCCTCTTGTTGCATATCATATTTGACAGATGACATCCTGTCTGCGTCTATAAGAATACTAGTTGGCAAGCTGGCTGCATACCCGAGCTGCAAGTGCATCTGGCTGTAATCATGCTGGTGAAGGTGATTGGACTCCTCAGCCTTCAGAAGCAGTTCAGAGCTGAGGGTGGGGGCCAGTCCTACAGGGAGATCAAGTTGTATATGTCTGTCAACCGGCTCTACGATTGAGACTCTCTCCATCTCCGACATCAGATGTGCTGGTGGCTGCAGATGATGGGTTGAATGCTGGGGTGCTAAATCGTCGATGTTTTGCATAGAAGACGACTCTCTGGAATGTTTGCTCTTCATGTGTCCACGGAGTGAGCTCTTGTGGTTAAAAGCTTGAGAACACAGTTGACACTGGTAGCTGCGATCAGCGCTGTGGACTCGCATGTGAATACTGAGATTGGATCGGACGGAGCAGCGTTTCCCGCACACCTCACACTGATACGGCCGTTCTTGGGTATGCGTAAGCAAGTGCTTCCTCAGCATGCCATTGCTACGGAAACGCTTGGTGCACTTGTTGCATGCGTACGGCTTCTCACCTGTGTGTGTTCTCATATGTCTGTCTAGGTTATTCTTTCTCAGGTACCTCATCGGACACTGGTCACACACATACATTTTCTCATTGGCTTGCTGACTGTGCAAAAGCATGTGGTCCTTTAACTTTGACACAACCACGCCACAAACCGGGCACTGCTCCTTCTTGCCCTTTTTGTGGTATACAAGATGTTTCTTCAAATCTTCCTGCGTGGCAAACATGATGGAACACTGTGGACACTTCAAGATATCATCTGGGTGCGAGACCCTGAAATGGCACGTCCGACTGGTTTTATTGGGGAAGGTCTCCCCACAGAGGGCGCACTTGATTTCATGAGTCAGCTGATGTTTGGCCAGCTCACCACGGGAGATAAATCTTTGGCCACAAGGGTAGCACTTGAACCTTTTGGCCGACACGTGAGTGTCCATGTGATGTTGTCTAGAGGACAGAGAAGAAAAATTGTCACCACAGACACAGCACCGGTAGGCACATTCCCCTGTGTGCAGCATGGTGTGAATTTTGAGACTGTCCATTGAAGATACAACCAGCCCACAAACATTGCATTTCATTCTTTCCTTCTTGCTTTTCTTCTTAGCACAACTGTCCTGCTCCTCTGCAGAGTTTTCAGAAGTTAATGCTACAGAGGCACTAGATAGTCCTGTATTGGTTTTCCCAATGCCGCTGGACTCAAACTTCACTCTTCTATGTTTTTGCATGTGCACAATCAGATGCGCCTCGTAAGGCTCAACCTTCCCACACATGATACATTTGTGCTCAGATTCTTCAGCCCTCCTGTGGTTGTAAAAGTCTAGCTGATTTTTGAACTCAACTTCACAGTAATCACACCTGACAATTTTATCCACTTGGAGTTTTTTTATCTTCTCTCGTGACACTGGCAACTCATCGTCACGATCATCTGGACCCAATCGCTTCCTTCCCATCTCAACTTGCTTTTTATTTATTTTCTGAGACACAGATGACATCTTTTTAATTTTCACTGGAGCAGAATCAGATACGCTCTCTACGACTTTGTCTTTCTTTCTTAGTTTAGTTTTCAGCTCACCCGTCACATTAATGTCATCGTCATGCAACGTGTTCTCCGCCACCTCTTTGATGGACTGACTTTCACCATCATCACACTCCAAGGCCAACTCTGCTTCACTGGACCTTGCCATACTTTTATTTTGAGATTTCTTCAGTTGTGTAAGTCTTTTTGACCTTTTTGGTGTTCCTATTGCATTCAAATGTTTTTCTTTTAGACGCTTTGAAGTTTTTCTAACCTTGACCTCTGTGTTCTTCTGACCTTTTGAGTTCATCTCTTCTAATAAACCATTCTCAAAGGCAGGGGCTCTGCATCCAGAAAATGGATAAAAAACTTCATCTTGGCTATCAATATGTGTGTGTGTACTATCAGAATTTCCTGTTTTCTTTGTTAACTCAGTTTGTTCACTTAGACCACTCTCTGTAAAGGTTGCCTGCGAATGTTTGGGCTCCAGCGACTCAGATGGACTGCCATGTGGTGGGTCAAAGACAACTTTGATCCTAATAATATTGCCAAACTTTACGCAGACAGGCTCATTTTCATCAATATTGTATATTAAAACTCCACTTCCCAGAATGGCTTCAAAAAAGTGATTTTGTCTCAGAGAAGCCTCCATATCTCACTCACTGCTTTAACAGATTACAAGTGTGCTCTATGTTTGTAGCTTTACACTTCCATGTGTAAACAGGACTTGATGATGGCAAAGTAAACTGAACTTCAAGCCTGGCAGTTTAAACCCAATGGTGTGTTGTTATCTGGAGAGATTTCATGTTACCAGCAAGTCAAAGCAGAGGAAAACTTTTTAAAATATCCTAAAACTTGCTAGTACAATTAACCGGTCAGTAGTTCTGGCTGACTTGTCTCACTTGTGCTGGACATCTGAAAATATAACAGGATCACCAGATGTAGGACATGGACACAGACTTATCTAGCAACTGTATTAAGGCTCAAACAATTATCAAATCCATAGATACTGATCTCTAAATCAATGGTCATACATCCCAAACATTTTTAATTTCAAAGAGTGTGAAAGGGAAACACCATACATTTGAACATAGTGACATTTGATTAGGCTACAAAGGCTGATCTTGAGGATATAAAACAATAAATTAAAATTAGCATCGATGTATGCAAGGGTCCTCTAAACAGAATTCCATTATAAATTTATAAGTAAAAAGCAGAGAAATGCATCAAATATACAGGCAGGGTATAACTATGTGCTGGCAATACAACAAATTGATTTATGAATAAAATTATAAAAACATGGAGACTTGAATGTGTAATAAACTTATATACACAGTGATGGTAAAAAAAAAACAAAAATTAAACTTTCAAATTAGTATATTACAGGATCTACATTTTTCAGTATTCACGTTTTTTGATACCGTTACATATTTTTCTTATTTTATATGCATGGGACAAGAAAAAGTTAAATAAAAACATTTAAAAGATTTTTTAATACTTTTTTTTTACAAAAACGTGTTCTTTTTAGTATAATGTGACATTTACAGAAGAAATATTAGCTGCTGTCATAGGTAGTTCATCTTGATTTTGACTGCTCATAATAGGGGTGCTGTGATGATTGACGTAAGTTGAGGTCAAGTTGATTGAAGCAACATTAGAAGTTTCACCTATGTACATGCCTTTGGGAGCATCTCCAGTCTTGGTTAGCATAGAGTGACCATTATACACGTGTTTTATTGGGTTCACAGTTCCCTCAGAATGCATTTGTGTAATCCCCATTGTGTCTGCACTATGTTCATAATACTGTTTAAAGTCAACTTCCTGCCTGCTGGCGTAGTGCTGCTCTGTTTTATACTCCAACCCACTAATTCGACTTTTCAAGTTCTGATCTGAATCTAACTGAACTCTACCTGACCCATCATAAGTCTGTCCACAGCTTATTTCTGATGTTTTCAGCCTTTGATAAGGGACTTGAAGATCACACTTAATTCCATGGTCAGACTCAATAGCATGTGCCCGCGAGCGCTGTGTTACTGAGTGCTGTGCCCCTGAGTGCTGTGTTTCTGTTTGCTGTGTTACTGAGTGCTGTGCTGCCGAGTGCTGGGTACGTACATGACCATCCAAAGAACTCTTATAGTTAAATGCAAGAGGGCATGTGGGACAAGGAAATTTCTTGGTGTCAGAGTGAATTCTCATGTGAACCTTGAGGTTGCCAGATTCTTTACATTTCTTGCCACACACCTCACACTGATAGGGCATGAGCAGAGAGTGTCTCCGGAGGTGCTTCCTCAGGACACCACAGTCTGCAAACGTTCTAGGGCAGCTAGGGCACTGGTAGGGTTTCTCCTGACTGTGTATGCTCAGATGTCTCTGAAACGATGACCTGTTGGAGAATTTCCTAGGGCACTTGTCACAAACGAACAGATCACCTTCATCAATGTCAGACTTGGATTTGTGTGTGATGATGTGCTTTTCAAGCCTGGAGAAAAACTTACCACATGTCGTGCACTGTTTTTTCTTGTATATGGTGTGCTTTTTCATATGGACCGCCAGCTCTTCCGAGGATGAAAACATACAGGTGCACTGGACACACTTGAGAATGTCAGTCTGATGAGAGGTCTTGTAGTGCTGCGTTCTGCTGGTTCTGTTAGGGAAGGTCTGCCCGCACAAGTGGCATTTGACCTCCATCAGGGCAAGCTGATGTTTGGCCAGGGCACCCCTGGTGGCAAACAGCTGATCACAGCACTTACAGCGTATCATGCCACCAGACTTGTGGGTCACCATGTGGTTGTTCAAAGTCCCCGGCTCAACAAACTGTTTCCCGCAGATGCAACACTTGTAGAAATACTCATCCGTGTGGGACATGAGATGCTTTTTCAAGGTGAACATGTTTTTCACCTCCACACCGCACACGTCACACGCGCACGCCTCAGACTCTTTCAGATTTGTGAACCCCTTCTTCTCAGAATGGCAGGCCTTGATGTGAGCCTGTAGAAAGGCCCTGAACGGGAAAACCTTTTGACACAACACACAAGGGAACAAAAGAGACCGTGCCGTCTTCTTGTGGTCATAAAAAGCTTGCTGGTTTGGAAAGTCTTTGAGACAATACTGACATGACATGTCACACGCTGCCTGCCACTTGGAGTTACATTTCGATGTCTTGCCTTGTGCAACTTCCTGCACTCCTCTGCTTCCTTGACTTACAATCTTTGAGATCTGCTGCTTGGGGTCATTATTGGTCTTGGTTGAATTTTTAACTTTTTTTTTAACTCGAGGACCAGAGTTTGTTGCCCTTTTGGCATCTGGTTTTCTTTCGTTAAGTTTCCTTTTTTTGTACCTCATTGCCCTGGATGATAACTCTTGTTTGATGGAGGTACTATTTCCTTCCCCTTTACTTGCGCAGTCTTTATTTATACCTTGATGAGTTTCAGACTCTTCTTTTGGACGGTTTTTATTCTTGAAGGAAATATCCTTCTTTGATGAACGTTTCCTACTTTGTGATGGTGAACGTAGTTCTTGTTTATCCTCTAGAGGTAAATCAACCACCAGTTTGTTATCAAGTGCAAAGCTATCTTCAAATAGATCTGCCTTTTCATCAGCATCCCCAGATATCTCAATATCCGGCTTTAGAAAAAAACCATGCCCACTCTGGAGACTCTGAGCTGGTTCATGGGTCATATGCTCATGACCAGAAGCCTCAGTCCCAGGTTTAGGTGGGTTGGTTGTTGTGGACCGTGTGAGGCCAAAGCCTGTGAACAAAATCTCCAACTCAATTCTTTCAGTAAAGTTTAACATGAGATAGTCTTTGTTGTCTATTTTGAGGTGCAGCGTGCCACACGCTGGGTCTTTATGATAACAAATACGATGATCGTCACACAGTTCCATAGCTACAAAAAGTATTATACAAGCCTTACAGATCTACCCACTGGGCCACACTGGGCCACACTGGGAGTTTTGTCAGTGTAGGTTATTAAATAGCTAGTATTAGCATTGCCTTACTCATCTTAATGACAGAACTCATTTTCATGTTCCCAGCGTTGTGGTGAGGAGAAATTCACAAAGGCCACCAATGGATAGTCAAGCAGTGTGTGATTGTGAGAATGAGAAAGTTGTGGGAGTGTTTTTCCTACTGATGCCTGGCAGGTTTAGGACATGCCCAATCAGACTTGACCCACCACCGAGAGTGACATCTGAAAATATAACAGGAGCACTTGATAAGGGGAGCCAAGACAAGGATGGAGGCATTCTACCAAAACTGATTCAAGGAAGCAAGTCCATTGTTTTCTGTGGCAAGCATTACCATTGTACAAATATGATTTCCTGTAGCATCTAAAAATATATTTTCTTAGCAAAGCTTTCGGGAAAAATGGAGCTTAAGAAAAACTTAAGAATTTATCATTTGGGGTTGAAGCCATGTGAGCAAACAAAATCTCATTTATATTTGTCAAAACAAAATCTCATTTATATTTGTCAAAACAAAATCTCATTTATATTTTTCAAAACAAAATCTCATTTATATTTGTCAAAACAACAACAACAAAAAATTAGAGAAAAATATTGGATATTTTTTCAAAAGACATTTATTGCCCACTCCTGATTTAATACACTTAGTTATGGAGTTGCAACTTTAAATATTTGCTATACCTGGTACAAGATATTACTGTGTTTAAAAGAAGGCTTATGAGATGGCTTCAAAAGGGCAAATAACTTCTCATCTGAGCTATAGTACGTCATCACACACAATTTTACAGTGTGCAACAAATCTGGTGACATTTGTTCCATGAGCAATTGAATAAAATAATTTTATGACATACAACAAGTAAGACATGCCAATTCATGACATCATTGTCCTAAATATTAAAGTTAGAGTACACACTTAGGTCATTGTGCTAAATATTAAAGGTCGAGTACACATTTATGGTTAAACAATGTGGCATGGAGTCAGTATAACTGATAATATCATTAGCATTCATTTGAGATGTTCTTGTGATGTCTATCTCAACATGCCTGAAGAAAAGAGACTGGAATATCAAATCAAAATACAAGTCGCAAGCTAAAGAAAACTGAAGTTAATAAAACAGTTTCTGGGCAGATATTAAAGTTAAATAAACTGAATCAAGTGAATTAAAAGAAAATAGTCTCTGGGCAGATATTCAAATTAAAGATAAATAAACCGTATCAAGTGAATTAAAAGAAAACAGTCTCTGGGCAGATATTCAAATTCAAGTTAAATAAACCGTATCAAGTGAATTAGAAGAAAACAGCACCTCTTCTGGTGGGTCGATATTGATGACATCCACACGGTGGGCCATCTTAATATGTTCTTTTAGCGCATTCTTGTAAGAGAAACTCTCCCCACAGTCTTCACATAGCACAGAAGTTATGTCCCTGTGAACTTTCATGTGAACGCGCAAATTTTCCTTCCGGGAGCAGGCCTTGCCACATATTTCACAGACAAATGGCCTTTCCTTGGTATGAGTTAACATATGCCGATTCAGCCCACCACTCCGAGCAAATCTTTTGGGACACTCAATACAAACGTAGGGCTTCTCTTGGCAGTGAGCCTTCATATGCCTCTTGAATGAGAGCCTCTGGTTAAACTGTTTAGGGCACTGATCGCACACATATGTTCCAACTCCCGGGATGCCTTTATCGTGTGATTGCATATGTTTACGAATATATAACACCATAAGCCCACATATCGTGCACTGAGTTTTGGATCGGTGGCGGTGATACTTCAAATGAGACATCAGCTCATCATTGGATGAATACATTTTGTCGCAGATATGGCATTTTAGAATGTCTTCTTTGTGGTCCTTCTTGTAATGGTATTCTCTGCTGGTTCTGTTGGGGAAGACTTTATCGCAGATGTTGCACTTAAATTCATGAGTGAGCTGGTGCTCGGAGAGCTCTGAACGAGATGGGAAACACATGTTGCAGATCTTGCACTGCACCGGGCCAGCCTTGAGATGCGTATCTAAATGATACTTATTTAAGTATTGTGACCTGAATCCACACACACAGCACTTGTAGGCAAACTCCCCAGTGTGGATCATTGTGTGAGCTTTCAAGCGCCTAGAGGTGGACACGCTGATGCCGCAAATATCGCACTTGATTCCATTCTCAGATGTGTTACTTTCCATCACCACTTCAAGAGCCTGGTCAGCGGTTTTGCTTGTCCTGTCTTCATACGTTCCGTGCTTTCTCATGTGCACCAGAAGATGAGCCTTGAAGGCCACTTCTTTACTGCAGTACTTACATTGATAAGAGCCTTTCTCCCCTTTTCTGTGTTCAAAGAGGTCATGCTGGCTCTTGAATATTTTTTTGCAATATTCACAACTAACTTCTTTTTCCTGTTCGATCTTTTTTAATTTAGTTTTCTTCTCAGGTTTGTCACACTCATCTTTATTTTCAGAGTCAACACAGTCCTTATTTAATTCCCCTGTACAAGATTTGATACTTTCTGGTACATTGTCAAGTCCATTTTCCAAACAAGCTATAGAAATATTGAGACACACATTTGTTTCCTTTGATTTCTTTGCTTGGGCATGTTTGGAATACAAAGTTTTGCTATCCTCTCTGGATGACCACTTTTTATCAGATCTTGATGGCCTTTGAGACAATTCTTTTGAACACCTGTTTCCTTTTTTTGGGTCCCCTGTGTCAATCAATACAGATTTGTCATCTTCCTTCCTCCTACACAAAATTTTCACAGCTTCAGATGAAATTAAATGCAAGTCTAGTAGAGCCGGCTTTGAAGTATTTGAACATGTTGGATTGCTTGCTGTGTGTTCTTGTACAATCATGGGCAATTCATCATTAGAAAACTCGCTTTCACTCAACTGTTTATCAATGTCAACAGCCTGTGAATGGTGTTCATTAATCCTGATCTGGTCTTGTCCCACTGGACAAGGACTAAGTGGCAAAGCAACATATTCTATCATTGTGCTGCCATTAGGTTTTACATCTTTGTAAAGTGTTTCCTCCCCAGGTGTGAAGACGGACTCATTTAATTTGTCATAGACCACATGAATTTTGATATGCTGCCTGAAGCTCTGAGCCAACACCTGCTGGTCATCCAGGAATAAGAAGATGGTTCCTGATGCTGATACTGTCTCATACACATGGATTTTGTCTTTCACATCATAAGCCATGTTGCTTTTAGACAGCTGTATCAAACTTTTGCTATAAAATGAACTCACAGCACGTACAGCTTAAAGCAGTCTTCAGTGCAAATGCACACATATAGCTTTTGGGTATTGTCACTCAATCATTGGCACTCAAGTTATACCAGTACAGCACTACTACTTCTAGGAGTTAACTTTTTTCAATTGTATAACTTAAGCTACTCAGACAGTCTCAAGGAGAAAAAAGCAATCTTAAGAGCTAACAGATGTGACAGGAACATTGCTCTCCCCTGCTTGCATCACTTTTCAGTCAATCTGAAAATATAACAGGAGCACGGGTTGGTGGTGGTGCATCACATCAGTTTATTAGAAGTAGAAGAACAAACAATTTCATCCGACAACTTTTGTCAAAACAGATGTTTATGTGAACGCAGTCCCCAAGATTAGGCCAAATCATTTTAGTGTTGGTCTATCCATAGGGAGTGGGTGGGTGGGAGGTTCAACCAAAGTTATATTGACACTGATATAGAAAAGGCTGTGGCTATTTGGATCCGGTATCAGAAGTGAGAGGTTTGGTTTATTAAACAATATTAAAAATATTATTGTTGGGTTTGTAAGGTAAAATTTGGTATTGAATGAAAGATAATTGAATGGACAATATGTTTGTAAACCTAATTCTTCAGTTTAACTAAAATAAACTACCACAAATGACATCCGAATAGCATTTGGTCTAATGGGACCCGAGTCCGAATAGCAGCGATACAAGATAATTTTATGGACTATATGATTTTAAACTTATTTCGTCAGTGTAAATAAAATAATTAACAGAAAAAAAAACTTAAAATATGAAAGCATAACACAAAAAAACCCCCCACCAAAATTAAGAAAACTTATTCCTCAAAATCATTGAAATTTATGTAATATAAATTATATAACAATAACAGACATTTTTGTGCTTAAAAATCCACAAAAGAATCACAAAATCAAAAAGGAATTTTGAATTATGTCTCATAGTGTCACTAGTGATTTTAAAAAAATTAACATTTTACACATTTATAATTGAACAGATGATTGTTTACAATGATGCATAAAATGTTTTTTTTTAAATGTACATACTGTTCTTTAATTCATAACTATTGTTCTTTGATTTATAACTTGATTCATAACTATTGTTATTTGATTTATAACTTGATTCATAACTAATGTTCTTTGATATATAATTTGATTTATAACTATTGTTCTTTGATTTATAAATTGACTCATAGCTATTGATTTATAAATTTGGACACAGTGTGCTATTTCTTGGAACAGTCTTTGGGGTGTAGATGCGGTTGGTCAGGACAGTCCATGCAAATAAAATGTGTCTGGGCTGACTTAGTTGGAGCACTACACACTTTGCACTGCCTGTCCTGTTTAGCATAGTCTATCAAATGCCTTCCCCCTTCCAACCTTGATATTGGGTTAGCCCTTGGTCGACCTGGCAAAGGTATTTTTCTTTCTTCTGTCAGCTAAATTGAAGATGCTTCCAAACACAATGAATCGATAAAATTTATTTTGAAATTTTTTAGACTAATACGAGCTTCAGGGTGACTCAAGGCGTAAAGAATGTGAGCATTTGAACAAGTAATTTCCATAATGCAGAGCTAAAGTTTTTTTCCATCACCTTCACTTTCTCTGGTGCATCCCATAATATCCAACTTTTTGATCAGTGAGATCTTCCCATGCAAAACATGCAAAAGCCATTATTTGGCCTTCTGGTATTTTGACTCCATGTCTTTTATTTTCAATGAATTTAAATGTTTGGGAAACAGCCGCCTGTTACTTTGGAGAGTCCCAGTGTAATAAATCTGTTACTCTGTCAGATATTCTACCCATTTCATGGTAGTGTAGAATCTGTCTGCAAATTAAATGGTATCCCTTGCCAATAGCATGCAGTAATGTCTGGAAAATCTGAACTGCCTGGCCACTATCTACATCAGCATCACGATCAAATTAAGGTTTACCACATACCCAGTGGCCCGATCTACTAGACCAAAACTTTTGATGTGGTATTTACTTGGTTTTGTAGGGTTATATTGTTTATACTGCCATCTTCCCATGAAGCCAACTATCATTTCATCAACAGACACAATTTGGTAAGGCGTGAATGCAATTTTTGTCAGTTTGTTTACGTATGGCTTCAATTTAGCTTTAACCCTCTGAAATCAGGATGGGGTTAATTAAGGAGGTTGCGAACATTTTCCAACAGTAACACCATATGTGGTAAATATAAAAGTGTGTTCAATATGTCTCAGGTTGAAAAATAGTCTTGGAGACTGGGACGTTGATTCATTCCCATAGCCAGAGAAATAGCGATGAATTTATAAACATGGTACTTTGACACTGGTTTCCAGTTTTGAAACCTAGAGCGCCCCCACATTGGAGTGTTCCGTTTCATTTTTTTTTCAGCATAGCTATTTATACATGATATGATAATATCAATAACTTCATCATAAAAAGTTTTGAAAAACAATCAAGTGGTGAACAATTTTCAGATATTATGGCTTTGTTGACACCAGGCTCTTTATGTGAGGATAAAAAAAACTGTTAGCAGTTGCATCAAAATTTGCTTCAATCCATTCTCCTACTTTTAAATTTCAACCAATAGTTTCATCTGTAGTCATCTTTCTTTTTTTTCCCCATTACCCTTGGATGAAGACATATATTATTGTAATAATGGAATAGCCCTTCTTCTAGTTTGTGGCTCATCATCTTTACTACTATAAATCCAATCATATGAAATTAAACTGCTATTGGAATCATGAGATTGATCTCAGTCATATTCAATATCAATAGAAATAGTATGAAACATTTCCAAAGCCTGTTGAGCTGTTAAAAAAAAAACAATGGAGAAAATTAATAAAATAATTCAAATGACAGCAAATACACATTGTTTTCATTCATAAACAAGGAAGTATCACTCTTCTATGTAAAGTAAAAGTCTATTTAAAAAAAAAGCTCTTAAAAAGTTTAACAGAGCAATAGCAAAGAAACAACCATGATATTGAAACAATGCACAATGTGTTGTTTAGTGCTTTTTAGCACGGCCGATAAACATACGGTGTGTTGTACTGCAGCAATTGAGTTAAAAATGCAGTCACCACCTCTAAAAATAAGGTTTTGTTAAAAATAGAGGGATGGAAATAAATCTTCAATATCTAAAGCAGTGCCCAGTGCTTTCCAAACTTTTTTGACATGTGCCAATAATTTTTTTTCCTGAACCTGAGGGGCGCAAGTGACATTTCAAAAAAAAAATATATGTTGGTTTTTTGTAACTTTTAAAAAAATTATTCATATTATTAATATTTCTTGCCTTATGCATAAAGAGCCATATCTCCAATAGCATTATCTGCTCATCAAGAACATAAATAAAGCTAATACAAATTGTTGCCATTTTTGATGATATATTTTGCTTTGAATGGTACTTGCAATTTTCTTAATATGGGATAGTTATCAGTAGCACCTGCCCTATATGTCCACAAGTCAAAGTGGCATTAGGTTTTTTTGTACTCATTGGTAATTATACAGAATCCAGCTTCACTGATATAGGGTGCTTGCAAAAACACGTCACAATTATGTTACATTTCCATTGTTGTGGAAATTCATCAGAAGAAACATGACGTCATCCAGAATTCATTTGAAAATGTTAACTTATGTTTGTTTATAAAAAAAATACTTCAATCATCTTCCTACTGTCTCTCACAATTCTTCTCTGACTGAATTGCATTAACTACAAACAAATACAGCTTGTATCCTGCTTTCTACTCACTGAATGTCTCATACCAAGTACTTGTCTTCAACATCACAACAATTCAGGACAGACACTTGCTCCCACACCTTGCTCGACGACCTGTTTAAATTCAATCGTACCATTAACGATTCACACTGCCCACCGGTTCACACTACCCACCGTAGTCTTCAACTGTGACACCTTTAGCACCCCGGCTCCCATCTCAATTACTCTAACCCGATCATAATACTATTACTATCAATGATAGTATCATTCCACAAAGCAGAGCAGTTAAGTCGCAGTGCTCACCCATCTATTTCATCAAACTTGGTCGCGTTGGAGATGTTGGAGAGGGCATGGATATTTTTACAATGAACAAATAGCAACACATCAAGTTACTTTTGGTTTCCCTATTCATCTTTCCCAATCAATGCCGCCAGTAATTGTACATGATACCATGTGAGCCTCCCCTGTACAGTACAAGCAACAGAAATAAGTGAGAAAACAATATCTGATTTTATGTCACCTAGGTTCCCAAATGATTGCTCTTCTCATGTGCTTAACATAAATTTTTGCTACCTGTCAAGCGATACCTCTCCTTTGCCTTTGTGACCTCCCCATTTTCCATGTTACAACTTCTCCTGCCTGTGTTCTCAAGCAATTTCTCAACAATACTAAATCAACCAATGTGGTTTGAAAATTTTTTTTTTTGCACATATCGAAAAAATTTCTTAAGCAGTGGTGGCTCATTTAAAATCAGCTTAATAATAATAAAGTTTATTTAAAAAACATGCTTCATCCCCAAAGGCTCGAAGCGCGGTACAAAGTCAACAAAAAAAATCTATAATTTACCACATTTAAAACAAACACAACACTACAAAAACTAATTACAAGCATACGAGGTCAAAGTCTTTCTAACCATTTCAACCATAAGCAACACAGCCAAATATGCATTAACTGGAAAGCATGGTAGACAATCATCCCAGAAGGTGTTTGCAAAATAGATGTGTCTTTAAATCGGTTTTAAAGGACTGCAGTGTCTAGTTGTTTCTGAGATCGACAGGAAGGGTGTTCCACATTGTTGGACCAGCAAATGCAAAAGTGCGCTTTCCGTAAGTCTCAAGGCGAACATGTGGTGTCGAGAGTTTGCCACTATCAGATGAGCGGAGTTGTCTAGTGGGTACATAAGGCGTCAGCAGCTCTTTCAGATAGGACGGCGCCAGGTCATGTAAGCAGCGGTAGCACAAAGTTGCGATTTTGTACTCTATGCGAGCACGGACCGGCAGCCAGTGCAACTCTCTCAGAAGTGTTTTAGCATGGTCGAACTTGCATTTGCGAAAAACAATGCGAGCCGCATTATTCTGTGCTATCTGAATTTTATCCAGGAGCATAGCACACCAATTTATAGATAAAAACATCTGACATGAAGGGTGAAAAAAAAACAAAAAACACACAACAAAATGGAGAGATCATTTTTATTCACGCTACGGGCTATGTACCATTGGGGGCTGTACTGATCATCAAAAAAAGTTAAAGCTGCATAATTGTATAAATTTAATGATAGTATTGATAGTGATAGTAGTTAACTGTTACTGCTTGAGTAAATTTTATACAGAACATCCGGTACACATAAGTTAACATGCAAAAATACAAAATTCAATCAGAAATAATATATGCTTGGTGGCCACATGCAGCCAGCTGGTCACGGGTTGGACAGCACTGATCTTAAGGTATTATGTTTCAATGGATATCATTTTTAAAAGTAAATATAAATTTTTTGCTGTCTAATTTAATACAATTAAAGCAAATGTTGACGTAAATTCTATTTCAATAAACAAATTTGGGCTACCAATATCTTACCATTTTTGTTCAAAAGCAACAGTTCCCACTTATTAATTCTGAGTAAGGTCAAAACACAACCTGAAAAGAAATTTGTTAACATTTAAATCCATTAAAAAATAAAATATTCCACCTCATTATTTGCATTAAACACTTTCTGACTTTCTGATGGCTGAGAAAATGTGACTCTTTTGTCAAACAGGCCACAAACTGCCATGTATTTTTTATCAACATTTGGTAAATACTACTTTCCAGTAAGAGCAAAATTAAAAATAGTTTTGTTCACATCAATTTCATCAAATGATTTCTTATTTGGATTAATTAATATGTAAGGCCAAGACGGGTCAAATTATAGGGACCTGGATGAATAATTGTTATTATCATTTGGCATAGGTCAATGCCAAATGACTAAATATTATTATGAAATCAATTAAAACATTTGCTATGGTACACATCTGGGAATTCTTTAGGAAAAAAAAACTAAGCTGCTAATGTTGAATAACAAACTGTACTCCACACAGAGCATGAGACTGAGCTGGCTGAATACATCAAAATCTTATCTGGATTAGGTAAATTAAGGAGGTTGCGAACATTGTCCAACAGTAACACCATATGTGGTAAAATAAAAAGTGAAGACAGCGTTTATTAATTGGATTGACTTTGATCATTTCAAAGTTCAGTTAGAATATATCAAATTTATGGCTCCCAGAAAAACAGATGTAAACAATTTGTGAGCTGTAGCTGGCAGTTAGGACTAATATCAAAGTTTAAAAAACACATCAGTGAACATATTTTCAACATGGATGAGAAGAAGGTTAGATGACTGAAATGTGGGCACACCTGTCGGCACAGACAAACTAGGCCCTATGGTATAGATACAACAGTGACATAGGCTTAGCTTTTGGGGATATTAACCCTAGAACTGTCAAGAGCATTTTTCTGTAGTGTCAAACCATTTTTTGCATGTTCCTATACTAGTAAAATAAATGACTAAATCCCACGCTAAATGAATTCAGAGACCCTTACAAGTGTACATTTTCTGAAAGTAAATCGGACAAGGTAGTTTATGATAATGAAAAAGAATTTATTATATTATGTAAGTTTATTTTAACCTTTACAGAGTGAGTAACATTTTACTACTCAACTCCCGCATTCAACCCAACTTAATACTCCATAAGTTGTTCAAACTATCATAAAACTATCAAGTTTTTGAGATACTAGAAGGAATATTCTTTCAGAAAATTTCAATTTATAGGTACTTGTATTAAAAATTTTAATTTCATTTTTTTTTTTTATCGTTCACTACCTTCAAAAATCTGTCATACAAAATACAAGGGGGAAAGCATGAAATAAGTTCAAAATTTCCTTTTCAAAGAAAGTTATTCCATCCATTTTTTATTAATTAATACTCCAGAACATATACAAACATAAATGTCATTGAATCTTTTTAAATTTAAGGTAGGTATTTTGGATCCAATCTTTTTCTTTTCTCCTTGCTTTACACGTTTCCCAAATGAATTTGTCTGCAACAATACCACTAAGTAAGTTTAGGGTTAAAATTGTCAATATCTGACTTGACATCACCCGCTAGCGCTAATACTGTCATAACTTGCACATGTAATATATAATATAATCATTGATTTCATTTTAATCCATCTGAAATAATGCAAAATTTCATTCTTATTGTGAACATGCCTTCAGTTTGAAAATTTCTTTCAGCACACCAACTTATAGATGAAAACATCTGACATGAAGGGTGAAAAAAAACAACACACAAAAAAATGGAGAGATCATTTTTATTCACGCTACGGGCTATTTTTTACTATGTACCATTGGGGGCTGTACTAATCATCAAAAAGAAAAGTTAAAGCTGCATAATTGTATAAGTTTAATGATAGTATTGATAGCGATAGCAGTTAACTGTTACTGCTGGAGTAAATTTTGTACAGAACACCCGGTACACATAAGTTAACATGCAAAAATACAAAATTCAATCAGAAATAATATATGCACCTTGCCTTATAACTGCACTTATACCAAATAATTGTATTATTTAATTTTCATTTTAAAAATGCTAATAGTAATAACACTAATAATAATAAAAAGTATAATTAATAATACTAATTATAGTATAATAAACTCTAATTTTGACAATTCAATAATACTAATACTAATAATACTAAATTAACTAAATTGACTGACTAGATAGATAGATAGCCTTGGATAGATAAATTACTATTTATAGAATATGGTTGTAGTAGTATAGACATAGATTGAATAGTTTTAGTTGACAAATTGTATGAAGTATATAAATATAATAAATAATAATTTTATATAATAGTAAAAGTCATAGTCATTGTAAAGTATAGTATAGTATAGTTAGTAACTATAATTAGTAGGAGTGATTGACTTACACTTGTGCCTTATATAAGATAGTTATTATTAGTATTAGTTCAGTACCGGTAAATAAGACTAAGAGGAAATAAGGGGTAATAAGTAATAAGGGGAGAGACTGCAAACAGGTTAGTACAAAATAAAATGAGTAAAACAGAGTAGGGTTAAACCTGAAAAAATAAACGCAACAAAACAGCGTTTTGTTGCGTTTATTTTTTCAGGTTTAACCCTACTCTGTTTTACTCATTTCATTTTAAGAGGAAGTAACTTAGTCATACCCATAGTTAGTCGCAGACTCTGTCTTGTCTGCAGTTCAGCTTTTTTTCTTCTTATTTTTTTACTAAAAATAGTCAAACGTTCGGGAGTATATTCCGTTAGCATGAATGAATGCTACATCAACTAGGCTGCACTAAAGTGTAGTAGTGTAGGCATCCAGTCAAAAAAAATTAAAATGAAGAAAGTAGAAACGGAATAATAATAATATTTATACAAGTATAGTCAAAGAAGGGGGGGGGGGAATTAACCCCTAAAAGGTACCAATATTTTATAACAGATACCTCTCAATGAACTAGTAATATTGAACGTATTCGCAATAAAATACAAGTACACGTTTATACAATCATTTACTAAAAATAGTCAAACGTTCGGGAGTATATTCCGTTAGCATGAATGAATGCTACATCAACTAGGCTGAACTAAAGTGTAGTAGTGAAGGCAACCAGTAAAAAAAAATTAAAATGAAGAAAGTAGAAACGGAATAATAATAATATTTATACAAGTATAGTCAAAGAAGGGGGGGGGGGAAGTAACCCCTAAAAGGTACCAATATTTTATAACAGATACCTCTCAATGAACTAGTCATATTGAACGTATTCGCAATAAAATACAAGTACACGTTTCTACAATCCGGCTGGATTCTTTTTCGTCATCAATAAATCCACCCACTCTCCTTCCAACATTGTGCACACGTCACTAAAATGAACTGTTGTGAACGGCCGGACAAGTCACGTGATTGTTAAAAAAAGAAGAAAAAAACACGCACAAACTTCATACCCCCCCCCCCCACTCACACTCACATCGATCAGCAAACATACCCTCGCCCCTCCCTTCACTATTTTCACATATACTGTCATATACGGTATACACGGTATATACGGTACACACATATTAATTTTCATTTTAATTAGGCTATTATACTATAAAATGAAATTTGTATATTGACTTCAATTTCAAAATACAAAAATGCATAATTTAGTAACCCTATAAATTACCCAAGCTAGACTATGAACCAACGAGTGAGAAGCAAGTTGTCGGAGCAATGTACCTATAGCCTATAATTAATTATTAAAATTTATACTTTCTTTTATACTAGCACTGTAATCCCCACACTTTTTTCCACCTCGATTCTCTCCCCTCCTTTCCGAACAGTGTGACATTCCCGGCACCCTTTATTTATTTATTATTTGAAAGCTGGATGCGAAAGAACATTCACACTGCCGATTTGGTGTAGCCACAAATCTCATTGGTGAATCCATGACACTGATAACCCGCGTATGTGTTCACATTGAGCACGCACAACAATAGCATCCGATGCAGAACTTTTGTTTATACTTAATTATATTTAATTTATCGATTTTAATTTATAATTTATGTGCCTTCGGCTGCACATGGCCCTTTAAATGAATAAACTCAGCTTTTAAAAATGATTTTAACAATAACCACCCACGCCCACGGTATGAAAAAATTAAAACATAGCAATTACCATTTTAAAAACAAACTTATTCCATCATTAAAAAAAAAAAAAGATATTATTCCTCTAAAATATATTCTGACCTACTCACGCAAATAAAACCAAACTTGAAATTTACTTCACAAATGTTACTTTTTTGAACAACAAAATATGACGGCAGTCCTCCGAAGTCCAGTCCCAAATTATTTCGTATGAACAAAATTGCAATGCACAGTGTGTATTGTTAGAAAACAGCAGAAATGTCAGTCATAGCTTTTGCAAATAACTGTAAATTACAAACAAGTCAGTAAATAATAAATGTTGTAATTGGCGCATAGCATTTGCAAATAGCAGCCGAAAACGTTCTGCTTGTGACTGTTGCGCCACTGAAAGGCCCCCAAGTAGCTGGCAAACAGACCGCGACTAGTACCACTCTGATAGCGGAGTTTACGTTTCGCTTGCATCCAAGGTCCTTAAATAGTTTATGTGTGAATGTCCTGGTCTACTGGATCAACAAATTCACGCGCGTGCACATGACAGTTTGAGCATCAATCCCGTTGTTGAGCTGAGTGACATCTTGATATCCTCGCCCATCATCCATGACGATAGCTGTCCCTGGTAACACATGATTAGTGTTAATGCGCTCGATTGTTTGTGCATTTCGACGGCCAACAACCTCCATCCAACATCGTCCACTACCACGCTCAACCAAGCCGACAACCCGGTTACCAACGCGTCGCTGTCCACGATGATATTTTCTATGGAAAAAGTAACTCTCATCCACCTCAACGAAAACAGACTGGCCGTTGGCAACGAAGCCTCCCAGTAGTTGATTGGCTGTCAGCATGCACTGGCATCATCTTTGGCGAAGATAGTTGTTAAAGTTGACGATAGTGTCCCAGCTAACCAGACTCTCCCGAACAACATAACGTGTTTACACTTGACTTCGTAAACCCAGTAATACATGATAAGAGCTATTTTTTCAATTGTTAGATCATAGTTGGCAAAGAATGATCCGGTTCTCACACTACTGCGACTGTTGCATGGGCGACAACGCCACGAAAAACCGTCGTTGCATTCCGCACGAGCGACTAACGCCATTTGGCGCGTGCATGTTCCACAATTAACGTTGTTGCTGATCAAGCGGTGTCTGCCCAGCCAGTCCAACCATGCACGCTTGTTTGACATCACAGCATACAACTCACACGGAGTTACTTCGATTCCGCCCAGTTCTGCAGCTGGCAAAACAACCGAACTAGATCTAATTCCTATCGGTGCAGCCGGTCTACCAGCCATAAGTTAACAAATTTATCGCAATATACGCAAACATGATTTTCAAAACAAAATGATGCCTAAGACTTTTAAGTAAGGAGTAACCATTGGAAATTATTTGGGACCGGACCTCGGAGGATTGCCAAATATTACTAATACAACTACAGGTATTTATACTTTTTTAGCTGCTGATATTAAATTCATCGTTATTATTTCTTTGTGACCACTCCATTTTGTACCGGTTGCTATGTTACTAACCTGTAACTCATCTGAACCAAAAGAGCATGCGCATTGATAACAAAGTATGGTGGCATTGTTTTTGTATGTTACCAGAAACATTATAGGCCTACTGCAACCGCAACAGTCAAAAAACCAGTGCAAGTTAAATAACTTGTGGCCCTGTTTTATTGCAGGGAGTAGTGCCTGGTCACAGAAAGTTAAGAACCCAAGAAGTAACGAATTCGCAGTGTGAAGGTAACTTAAGAGTTAGTTAACATAGTTTTTTTTTTTAAAAATCCATTGTGTGTGTGTGTGTGTGTATTTAGAGACCGACCGAAAGTGATTTTCTGATTTCGGCTGAAGCCGAAAATAGGCCGAAAGTTTAAAATGACTTTCGGCCGAAACCGCAAATAGGCCGAAAGCTAAAAATGACTTTCGGCCGAAGCCGAAACCGAAAATGAATTATTTAGGTATTTTGAAATTCGTTCCCGCATACATTCTGCATACATCGAAAATGATGGGAGAAGGTATAAATATATCCATTCTTTTTATAAAAAATGAGATAATCATGAATATTAATAAATAAAGATCTAATATAAAATCTTGTTGTTAAAGATCGTTTAGTTTGTTTTTAAAGATCGCTTTGTTTGTTGTTATAGATTGTTCAGCTTTTTGTTTAAAGATCTTTTACTTTGTTATTAAAGATCATTTAGTTTGTTCAAAAAAGATCGCTAAGTTTTTTCTTAAAGATCGCTTAGTTTGTGTTATTAAAAGATCGTTTTTTTTTGTTCATAAAGATCGCTTAGTTTGTTCTTAAAGATCATTGATTTTGTTCTTAAATATCGCTTAGTTGTTCTTAAAGATTATTCAGTTTGTTCTTAAAGATCATTTAGTTTGTTTTAATAGATCTTTTAGTTTGTTATTAAAAATCGTTTAGTTTGTTCTTAAAAATCGCTTATTTTGTTGTTGAAGATCGCTTAGTTTTTTTCATAATGATCACTTAGTTTGCTGTTATAGATAATCGATTTTGTTTCTTAAATTCAATTAGTTTGTTCTTAAAGATCTTTTAGTTTATTCCTAAAGAACATTTAGTTTTCTGATAAAGATCGCTTAGTTTATTCTTATAAATCGTTTAGTTTACTATTAAAGATAATTTGTTGTGTTCTTAAAGATCATTTAGTGAGTTCTTACAAATCGCTTAGTTTGTTCTTAAAGATCACTTAGTTTGTTTTAAAGATCGTTTAGTTTGTTCTTTAAGATCGTTTGGCTTTTTATTAATAAAGATCACTTTATTTGTTTTTAAAGATCGTTTAGTTTGTTCTTAAAAATCGCTTAATTTGTTCTTAAAGATCGTTTAGTTTGTTCTTAAATGTCGCTTAGTTTGTTGTTAAATATTTCTTTCGCTGAGTATTAGATTACCGATAACATCAGTCACTTTCGGCCGAATGCCCGAAAGTCTAAGTCAATTTCGGCCGAAAAAACCGAAAGTTAACTTTTCTCTTTCGGCCTAAACCGAAATTAAGCCGAATGTTAACTTTCAGTTTCGGCCGAAACTTGGCCGAAAGTGAGAAAATTGCCACTTTTGGCACCGAAACCGAAGCCGAAATTCGGTCGCTCTCTAGTGTGTATCAGTGTGTGTGTTTCCAATTTATATTGCTCAAGTGATGTCCCTTATCTGCACAAATAAAAGCTAGTTATTCCCCTTATGCCACATCCATCAAATCCAAATGTGGACAGAGAAATCCCATGGATGTTGTAACCAGGCGCAAACAGCAGTGTTATATAAATAAGTGATTAAAATTTAGTTTCTAAATTTTTGTGTTTTCTTCTACAACCTTATGCATGGCAATGTTCTAGTAAAAATCGTCCCTTGATTAAACTTTGGGTTTAAAAATGCTAAAGAATGAATTAAATGTTTAAATTTTGAGTACGGTCACGCTGTACCTTAACAATATCGCCACCGGTCACACCACATGGTTACGTATAGGAACTCCCCCACCCTCTTTTTCAATTATTTAACCAATAATGAACGTCATTAAAAATCATTATATATTTATAATTAGTACCAAATAATTTTTTTTTAAAAATCTCTGTGGCACTTCTTCTCTATACATTTAAAAAATAATAAACAAAATAAAATAGAAAAACATTGATGAATTGCTTTGCTGTTAGTAACTGAAAGCGATAT